CTGGTTATGCTATGTTTGATGCACCCCAGGATGCGATTTGCCCTCTCAGCCGCCAGGGCACACTGCTGGCTTACACCAAGCCTGCTGTTGACCAGCACCCCCCGGTCCCTTTTTGCAGGGCTGCTCTCCAGACAATCGTCTCCCAATTTATATTTGTGCTTGACATTACTCCATCCTTAGGAGTTCTCTTTCTCTTGTCTGGCTTTTAAGGAGAATCACAACTCCACTTTTCTCATTTCCCAGCTCTGTTTCTTCCCCTCTATATACAGGGAAGGGAGACAAGGTACTGTATGCCAAATTTGAGGGAAAAAAGCCTCTTCCACCCATTTGCTCTTGCCTTATGAAGAAAACGTAACTGACAGGGAGAGATAACAGATTGGTATATATGGAGGAGTAGTAGGGCAAAGTTTGCCATAACATCCTTAACTAGAGAACTGCTATTTCTGGGCTCCCATTTCAGCCTCTCCAGTTATCTAATGCTCACCTTCCGTTACTGGGACTAAGCTAATGGTCAGTTTGGAGACCTGAAGATAATTTTCTACTGTTAGTCAGTGCTACAATACAGGCCTGATTTTTGATCTTTTTTTTACAGAAGTAAACCATGTTTATATAAAAAAAATGCTGCAACTTATACAGGTTCTAGTACCACTGGCAGGTTAGATACATCCAACCAAATAATTCACTGTATCCCAGGGGATTGTTCATGTAAGGAGGTGCTCTTCGTTTCACGAGACTTACAGGTTGTTGTGTCTGATCTTTCCTACTTCTAGTAGAATGTAAAGAAATAGGCTAAGACTGCACTCAGATTCCTTTAGCAAGCTTGAGGGTCTGAAGGAAACAAATTTTCCCATCCATCCTCAGCTTTAAAGTGCTTAAGCCTCAGAGCCTGCTGAGATCCACTCTATGCTTAGCCGGGTATAAGCAGCATTATTTAATAAATCATGGTCTTCATAATTTAGCTTTATTTTTGCATCTGAAGGAACTACAGTGTCTTAATGCTACAGATTAGCTGACAGAAAAGAAATTAGACTATGCTAGACAAGATCATTTGTCCTTAATTAGACTAACCTGTATTATAAGAACAGACGAGATCTGTTTTTGTGCAACTTTTAAGATGCGGTGAATCCTATATGCCCTTTGAATTTTAATTGCAGAGATATGATGATATGCAGCTGCTGTAAAATAAAGTAGTCTCTTCTTTTGTTTCTGTTCTGAAAACTGTAGAAGGAAAACAAAACAAGGAGCATCATTAATTTTCTTACTCAGAGGTAGCTGATCATCTATTCAAAGACCACAGTACACAGCACTATACTAATAGATGCTGAGGAATTGCTTCAGAAGTCATTACCACAGAACTAAATGAGCTACCTTTCTTCAGTACTAGGTCTTGAATCTAAACAATAACACATGGAAGTGACTGTAAGCAACAACAGTAATATATAGCAGAGAACAGTTTCATTGTAAGAGTGTGTGTGCAGAAGTTATAGGTAAGCCACAAAGATCTCAGAAGCTAAAAAAAACCACTCAACAATGAAAACCGATTTTAGTACTAAAGGACTGCAAGAAAAGTCAAACCATATTGTGGTCTGTTCTGAACCACCCAATTCTCAAAGCAGTCAACAACAATTTGAGTGCAATAAGTGATCAGGTTTTCCTTTGCTTGACAGCCAGAATTAATGCTAAAACAGGTCTAGAGATAAAATTAGAACTATAATTTTGATGTAAGTATACCAACCTTTTTTCTGACTAAATAACCCCGTATAAATGCCTGCAGTTTAATGACAGCTCTTCTAGTTTTGTTGTATTTCATAAATTGAAGCCTGCCTTCCTGCCAAGCCCTGAGATGTTTTTGGATAATTAGAGCAGCAGCTTTTTGTTGAACAAGTTTCCTTCTTGCCTTGAAAGCTCTGTATGCTTTTTGGATCAAACACACAGCTTGAAGCTTCTGAAAAAGATTTTAAAGAATGGAATGATAATTAAACTTTTGTTCATTCCTGTCACGATTGATATACGTTTACATTTTAGTACTAGATTATTTTTTTTTGTCATAAGAAAAAGAACAAAAATAAAATAGGAAATACAAGCAGACTCATGCGGTACTAGTTTATATAAAAACGTACTTTCACAATTTGGAAGGTCTTTTCCCTCACCTAAACAGGGTCAAAATATGGGCAATCCTTTTTAAACAAGAAAAGCCAGCAGAAAATTTTACATTTTGTCTTGTTGTCAGTATAGATGGGGCAATTCAACAATTGGAACTGTTTGAAAACAAGAATCAACCTTGCTCAAAGCAAAAAGGAAATTTACTATCTTAAAGATTGAGCAGTTTTACTTTGAACAATCTTTTTTCTGGCCCCACCTTTTTTTCTTTTCTATACTTCTGCATATTGATGACAAAAATCACTCAAATACACTGAAAACTTTTAATACAGCCATGACATAGCAGACTGCAAGTGAAAACATACCTTTCTTAAAAGTCTTCTAGCCCTGTACTGTCTATATGCCAACTGAATTGTAACTGCAGCATTCTTAGTGGCCAGAAACTGATGTTGAATCATTCGTGCAGTAAGGGTTGCTCTCCACCTTCTTTGAATGGTAAGCGCACAGGATTTCATCTTCAAAAAGCTAACATGAAAATGCATTTTAGTTTTTTTCCCAAAAGTTGAAAACACTTGCATTTTTAAAGTAAGAACACAGTGCAGGTTTACAAAATTCTTAAGATAGATATTGTGAAAGCAGAGCTGTTGTCAACCAAATCTTGGAACACTAGAACGAGGACAGCCAGCAATGTTGGCAGAAAGACTGGTTTAAAACAGACAATACTTTCTGTCTTCCCACAGTAGGTACCTCCAGAACTTGCTGCCAAAGGAGATTGGGGAGGGAGACAACAGTTTAAAAGGCATTAGACAAATTGACATACAACTGGTCCATAGAAGGATAATAAAGGGAATAAGCAAATTTAAATTTGCGAGGTAGCTTCCAGCCCAGAAAAATTGTTTAAACATAAGAAAAATCTTGTGAAAAAGAATAGTCCCACCTGCATCAACAGGATTATGTTTATGCATGCTGCAGGGTCACAGTCTGAGAATCGATAGGCATTTGCCAGAGTGCAAAGCAATACTAAATAATTACATAATAAAAGCTTTGAAAAGTAGAGAAGTTTATATAAAATTTAGTATTACCGTGTCCGCTGCTGTTTTGTTTTTAAGTGACTCTGAATAACACGTATAGCTTTTACCACAGATGCATATTCCTTTCGTGCTCTGCAGCCTCGAAACCAGGCTTGAATTACTTGTGCTGCTCTCATCTTGTTAACCCACTGCCTGGCTTTATATCCTCTATATGATACCTATTAAATATATAAAAAGAAAAAAGAAATTCAAAACTTTATTTTGTTTGTTTATTTAATGAAACAAACAAAATAAAAAGGAAAAAGTCACGTTAGCATAAAAAGCTTTTAGAATTCCTATCTCTACAGTATTACAAATATCTAATTTCTCGTGTCCAGAAAATGTTTTCTAAAGCAAGTGAAATGCATTCAGAGAAATACCAAAAATTCCACTCTTTAACGTCTGAAAAAAATAACTACGTCACGAAGAAACGAATACAAGAAAGATTAAACAACCAAAAGAACAATGAAAAACACCTTCTGGGATTACCTGAATTCTAACGGCAGCTCTTCTCATTTGATGGTATCTTTGTTGTTCAATATTTCGCATCTGATGGGCTCTGTAGTGCTGCTGTATTAATAGAGCAGAAAACTTGCACTGAAGGTATTTCTGTCTCTGAATAAATCCACGGAAAAATGCCTAAGAAAAAGACATGATCTTGGATTATTTCACCACTCGCATGGTATTGACTGGGAAGATGTTTGCATATTTTTAAGTACAGCTGTACTCACTGGCTTGTTAGAAAAACAACAGTACAATATATTTCTGATTTCCCAATTACTCTTTTTTTTCTACCTTTCAAGCAAGTTATACTTACATTGTTCAGGATATAGAAGTTAAACATTCAGAAAGTAACTAAGAAGCTGCCACTTCCCCCGCCTAAAATGGAGGTGAGGAAGGCACATCTGTTTTCTTGTCTGTTAAGCAGAGCATGTGCTCTCCAACAAGATAGTAATAGCAACCTAAATAATCTCTTGTAATAATTTCTTATTTCCCTTTCTTCCCTGATTTGGGGGAAAAAAAAATCCTTCCATTCCAATAATATCCTGAAGAGAAACCCCTTCCCTTAGGGTAAAACAACTAAGGTCACCACAGGAAGTCGCTTAAAGCTTTTCCCAGAAAAAAAAGGAAATTAAAAAGAATAAGTGTACTCCCACTACGTATAAATGATAATTAATGTAATTAAGAAGGAAATATATCTTTCTCCTTCATCCTAAAAACAAATATTTTGAAAAAGCACTTCAGAGTAACTAGTCTTCTAAGTTTCTTTGAACTCACGCTGGATGGCTATTTAGCTTGCTACATGGAGATGAAGAACAATTCTCAATACTTCTTGCTGATGGCACATTTACTGCATCAATGGTGGAAGGAAAGACCATCAAACTAAATAATTCCTAATTCCTAGAGTACCTCTGAGAAATCACAGAATGGCAAGGGTTGGAAGGGATGTC